AATTATGATGTAAAATTACATTTACATGCAGAGAAAAGTAGTGAATTTATGTTTTGAATATTTTCGTGGTAAACGCGCCATCTAGCCGTGCAAGGTGGGAACTATTTCACGACAAACTTGGGCTGTTCGCCGAGGATGGCGCCACATTTTTCGGAATTTTTATTTATTTAAAAAACTTTATATTAGTCAATTACTAGTATACAAATCAACAATTAGAAGTTCAATTGTGATAATTTCTATGTAAAATTATGTGAATATGCAACATAACTTTATTTTCATACATTATTTTCAATACATTAATTAAAATTCATACGTATAAAATATTTACTTATGAAACTAAGAGGGAACTAATGCGAGGAATGTAAAATTGTTTTCTACGATCGACTATGTCTTCTAAGGAATTCAGATCTGGCAAAACAGAGGGAAGCTTAATATGAGTATTTGACCATAATGTCTGAGAACCTTTTGTATGGGACCACTTCTTGTCATTGTAACTTGGAGTATAATAAGATTCTGTTGACGTTGAAACTTTTGGATAATAAGGATCATATTCTAGCTCGCTTGGTACTAAAGGTTTCAAAGCCAATGTTAGAGCATATAAAGGTACTTCTGTAGTTGTTAAAGGGGTACTAATTCTAATTGGCATTTTTGTACTTTTCTGTATAGATTTCAAAGTCTCTGTGTAAGGATAATTCCTGTGGTTCATAAAAGAAAATTTCATCAAATCTTGAGAGTTTTCTCTAATTTTGTGATTATTCATGTTATTTTGCTGATTCTGTGCATTTCCGGAAAACGAGTTCAATGAAACTTTTAAAACATTATATAAAGCATCATTTGTTTTCTGATTTTGATAATTCTTTTGATTAGTTCCATCTTCTTTCAATACACTTTGTCGATTTCGATTTGCAGAAGAAACATGTGTTTTAATAGATGTCGAATTAAGAGGACTTAATGATGGATGAGAAGATTTAATTGTTTTGCGTTCAACACCTTCTGTCGCGTTATAATTAGTACGAAGTTTCTGTGAACTAAATGTAAATCCATGCTGCCTTGCACCATGCATCTTTGTTGGCCGTATCTCATGTAAAGATTGAAAAAGAAATTGGCAATTAGCATTATCCTTCGATTCTTTTATACAAGAAGAGTTGGTATATTTTTCTTTCGTAGCTTCTGCATGTAAAGAGGCAGGTCCTTGACATTTAACCAGATGAGCATGATCACATATCAATGCATCTTGTCGAAAAGCAGTTTCCTCTGGACACCGATAGGTAAATTTGTTCCCATACTCGTCACAGGTGTGATATGCTTTACATTTAGCATCAACATCTGCATAGAAACCAGGTGTTCTATCCACGCAAGAGAAACTTGTCTTGACAGGATCTAAAGCACTCTGTAAAATGTTCTTGTTTGTTACAAATTTTATAACCTTAGTAGTAGCTTTATAATTCATACTAAATAGACATCTTATTTTCCAACTGTAGCAATGCTACATGCAAGATGTGTACAAGATGACAGTAAGGATAAAAGTATTTAAAAATAGCTGAAAATACAATACTGCTTCTATACAGACAGCTTTTCACATGGAAATAATACTCTTAATTGTTCTATGTAAAAAGAAAAGATTTAAATTTTTCATGTACTTGGCGTCGAGACGCTACCGCGTTTTTAGATTCTAGAAAGTGTTGTTCGTAATTACTTACAGAGATCTCAGATTGGACGAGTGTAATGGAATGTATAAACGGAAAAATGATATACAAAATACAATTTAAACGTTTCATCGTAATATTTAAACGAACAAAACACCAAAACGTAAAATATTGTCAAAGTAGTGAGGTTCCAGATTTGCCTTAACTGTGTTTATGGCAGTTTATGGGTTCCATTCATAGAGACGTTCCATTCTACTAGATATAGTGAAAGCAAGGATGTGCTTATGATTAGTTACATCGTAGATTTCAACTGTCACCTTTCGCAACACCCCCACTCGAACTCCTTGCAAATAGTTTCTACTGCAGAATGCATATTTATCTTATATTTATTTATATGTAAATACATCTTACAGATAAATACGAGTCATTTAGCAATATCAAAAGAATCTAAGTTGGTTTTTGGACACATTAACATCTTGGGGTTATATTTGCGATACATTGATTCGTTCTTTGGCAAAGAATTAGATATCAAAGCTCAAAACTAAATTCTATCTCAAACCAAGCTAAATCTCTGAGCCACGCCATGATCTATATTGATCTCGAGATTCCTGAGTGATCTGCAGATAAAATGACACGTAGCACGAAGTCACAATAGGCCACAATCCGGTGTATGTGGGGTGGTGTATGTATCGTGCGTAAGCAATGTCAACTATAATTTAACAGAAAATGTTAGTAAAAATTGCTTATGTTAATCGCGTAGATGCTGTCAAATGAACAGTTCTGTATAATTTCATGCGGTACTTATTATAATCAACCGTACTCCAGCCGATCGATTGGACTACACATGTTTTTGACAGTTCCGTAGTCGGTGACTGGTTTGTCTCGTTTTCAATCATTGTGAAAGTAATCATTTCGATACCAAATCATCGAATCGATTGGAGGCCTTTGGAGCCTTTTCGTAACACAATGATTATTACGAATTTATAAATGCCAAGCGGTTAAGTAGAGAGCTTGCAGGTTAATCATGAGTAAAGTGACTGGTTCCCATTGAAATCATTAAAAATGGACAACGCCGCAACTACAGAATGTTTGACCCTTGACTTTGGTCCTTTTGAAACTGTTCATCGTTGGCAACGTATGCCAGAATTCGATGAATTCGTTGGTGCCAGGTAACAAGGATCAATTAAATTCTGCTATATAGAATGTAAGCTTCAATCTTAACAATTTCTTTTAATATTGTCTCCAATTTTCTATACTATCATCTGTGCAAAAGATAATTTTGTTACAGCATTTTAATTCTAATAATTGAGCATTAATGTTTAGGTTGCATTCAGCATTTTCCAGTTTCTTTCTTTATTTTATAAGTTTGTGTTTTTCAATGACAGTTCGTTTTGTGATTGAGAATTTAAAAATTGTAAATAAATGATAATGCCTAACTAAAATGTTATCCTTTTTTATCCTTTTCTTGCTTGCATCGAATGTGATATTAGAAAATGGTTTGTATATGTGTTGCTCCTAATTTTTACCATACATTGTCTTATACACAGGCGTAGCAAACACACTGTTGTAGCATATAAAGATGCGATATATGTTTTTGGCGGTGATGATGGTAAAAGAATGTTGAATGATCTGTTGCGATTCAATGTAAAAGAGAAATATTGGGGACCTGCACTGGCTGCAGGAGCTCCTCCTGCTCCACGTTACCATCATTCAGCAGTTGTGCATGATTCTTCTATGTTTGTATTCGGTGGTTACACTGGTGATATACATTCCAATTCAAATCTTACCAATAAAAATGACTTGTTCGAGTACCAATTCCAAACTTGCCAGTGGACTGAATGGAAGTTCATTGATAAGTATGTCTGATTTTCTCAATTTTTTTAAAGTCTGTAGTTGTTCTTTCCTGTGGTTGTTCATTGGTGCACAATGTATATTTATATTTCATTGTAGAAAACCTGTAGCTAGATCTGCCCATGGAGCTGCTGTGTATGATAATAAGTTATGGATATTCGCGGGCTACGATGGAAATGCACGATTAAACGATATGTGGACAATATCTCTACTGGTAAGTTATTACACTATTTAACACAAATTGTAAACGTAATTAAATCCTTGTTTGCACTTTTAACTTGCAATTATTTTTAGCCTGGAGAACCGAGGGTATGGGAAGAAGTTGTTCAATCCGGTGATTGTCCACCGACGTGCTGCAATTTCCCTGTCGCTGTAGCTCGTGAATCCATGTTTGTATTTAGTGGTCAGAGCGGAGCTAAGATCACCAACAGTCTCTTCCAGTTTCATTTTCGAGAAAGACGGTAAGTATTCCGATCTTCCAATGTTGTATCGTATTTTATGTAGTAAATGTCATTAGGTGGACACGGATTTCAACGGAACGCATACTTCGTGGTGCTCCTCCACCACCTGCCCGCCGATATGGTCACACTATGGTCAGCTTTGACAGACATCTTTACGTTTTTGGGGGCGCGGCTGACTCCACGTTACCTAACGATCTTCATTGCTATGATCTTGACACGCAAACCTGGAATATTATTTTGCCATCCGCCGACAGTCAAGTTCCATCCGGTCGCTTATTCCACGCGGCAGCGGTAATCGGGGAGGCGATGTTCATTTTTGGTGGAACAGTTGATAATAATGTGCGATCAGGCGAGACGTATCGGTTTCAATTTTCGTCTTATCCAAAGTGCACGTTGCACGACGATTTTGGAAGATTGTTAAATGGACGCCTTTTCTGTGACGTGGAGTTCGTAGTAGGAGATTTGGAATCGAGGATACCTGCCCACATAGCTTTGGTAGCAGCTCGTTCGAAGTTTCTCAGAGCTTGCATCATACGGGCGCGAGAGAAGCGAGAGAAACACTTGGAAGATGTGCTTGGGACTACGGACGTACCGACAAAGGACCTATTAGAGGTGAGACTGCGGGACGCAGTACCGGAGGCTTTCGAAATGGTCTTGAACTATATTTATACCGATCGCATCGATCCAACGAAAGGAAGCGAAGATGGATCTAGCAATCGCGTCGAAGATCCTTTGAGCAATCGAATAGTGCTCCTCATGATGGACGTCTATCGTTTAGCTGTGGAATTCAATATGATACGCTTGGAACAACTGTGTGTCCATTACTTGAAAGCCACCATAAGCCACGCGAATGTCCTTAAAGCGTTACACAACGCTGCACAATTGAAACTTGACTTTATAAAGGAATTTTGCTTGAGCTTCATTGTGAAAGAAAGCAACTACAATCAGATTGTAATGAGCCAAGAGTTTGAGACCTTGGACCAACCTTTAATGGTAGAAATTATTAGAAGGCGGCAAATGCCTCAGGCGAGAAACTTCTCCAAGCAGTATGACCTTGGTACAGGTAGGTTTCCTCAAAGTTTTTTTTTTTGTTCAATGCCTTGTCAATGTTTTAATTTGCGACTTCAGGAACGACGCTTGAACAAGATATGGAGGCATTCTTAAAGAGTGTCGGCAAAGAATTCTGTGATATAACATTGATGTTAGATGGAGTGCCGATTCCAGCTCACAAAGCGATTCTTGCGGCACGATGTAGTTACTTCGAGGGAATGTTCCGCTCCTTTATGCCAGAAAATAATACAGTTAACGTGAGTAACTAATCATCACGTTTCTATGCGTTCATGGTAATGAAAACTATTGTAGTATAATTTCTGTGTTCATGGCAGATACAAATAGGTGAGAGGATACCGTCTTCTGAATCATTCGACTCTTTGTTGAGGTACATCTATCACGCCGACGTTTCCATGCCACCGGAAGACTCCTTATATTTATTCACGGCGCCAGTTTTTTACGGCTTCACGAACTATCGGTTGCAGGCATTTTGTAAACAGAATCTCGAAATGAATGTTACCTTTGAGAACGTTATACAAATCTTGGAAGCTGCGGATAGAATGCAGGCTGCCGATATGAAGAAGTATGCGTTGGATCTCATAGTGCACCATTTTATACAGGTAGATATTATACTAATAATTCATATCTTTCCTTTGATTTTCGGCATAATAGGTTCAAGCTTTAGCGAAGTACTACCACTGAAGTGAACATAACCTTACTCTGTCACAGGTTGCAAGACTTCCAAGACTTAAGCAATTGAGTCGAGAACTTTTGTTGAATATTATCGAGACCTTGGCCGACGAGCGTAGCGAAGCGCGCCTGCGTCAAGATATGGCGAATGATTGCTGACGGATTTCTGCCTCGCATCGTTGCCCTTTTAATTGGGACTTACCCTCACCCTCCAGCTTCCAAGTAAGTGTGCAGTACAGTATCTTAACAATGTTGAATATTTTCTACCTGCTGCGGCAAGGGTACATGGTAGATGAATGTTTGAAAAGTCTGAATGATCAGGCGCGTATGTAAATAAGTAAACACAGTTGAAATATTCAGCTTCGACTTTAAGGTGGTTTAGTAAAAAAATGATAACAGTTCAGATCTTCAAATGAGATTAATAAAAAAATTTATTAAAAATATTTAAATATTGCACATTGATTATGAATGCTATGAAACATTGTGTTAAGTATCATTGTACTAAATTTTTAATGTTAAATGAGGTTTGGGTACATTTTACAATAAAACCAAATTTCAAATTTATATATAATCTTTAGCTTTATATATAAAAATAACATTAAGTAGGAAAAATAATTAATCACCTGCGATCACTTACTCCTTGAAATATATTATTATTTGCATAATTCGACAATTTCGCTTTTTTATTGTGCAGTTCACTTAAAAATCAGATCACATTTTTTTCGTCACTATTTTGGAACATTTTCAGTAATTCTTCGTACTCAATTACTGCCGCAAGTTTTTTAATCATGTCTAGTCAACTAGTATAACTTTCATTGGAGTGATTTTACCTAATTCCCTTCCGTTTCCTGGTACATGGTCCCCTAAGATTCCCTTCATTTCCTGGCATATTTCCCTTAAATTTCCCTTCATTTCTTGGCACATTTCCATTTAATTGCCATGTTTTCTGGAACATTTCTTGGCAAAGATTCCTCGTGCCACCCCTTCGCATATCATGTTCTTCTGATACAAAAGGTAAGTTTCGAGATTCAGTTAATAATTATTTCACCTCTTCGCATATCATGTTCTCCTGATACCAGGAGTAAAATTCGAGCCAGAATTTGATACGCACCATGAATTTCTCGTGCCACCTCTTCGCATATCATGTTCTCCTGATACCAGGAGTAAAATTCGAGCCAGAATTTCATACGTACCATGAATTTCTCGTGCCACCCCTTCGCATATCATGTTCTTCTGATACAAAAGGTAAGTTTCGAGATTCAGTTAATAATTATTCCACCTCTTCGCATATCATGTTCTCCTGATACCAGAAGTAAAATTCGAGCCAGAATTTCATACGTACCAAAGATTTATCGTGCCACCTCTTCGCACATCATGTTCTCCTGATACCAGAAGTAAAATTCGAGCCAGAATTTGATACGTACCTTGAATTTCTCGTGCCACCTCTTCGCATATCATGTTCTCCTGATACCAGGAGTAAAATTCGAGTCAGAATTTCATACGTACCAAAGATTTATCGTGCCACCTCTTCGCATATCATGTTCTCCTGATACCAGGAGTAAAATTCGAGCCAGAATTTCATACGTACCAAAGATTTATCGTGCCACCCCTTTGCATATCATGTTCTTCTGATACAAAAGGTAAGTTTTGAGATTCAGTTAATAATTATTCCACCTCTTCGCATATCATGTTCTCCTGATACCAAAATGTAAAATCTTGCCAGAATTTGATACGTACCTTGAATTTCTCGTGCCACCTCTTCGCACATCATGTTCTCCTGATACCAGGAGTAAAATTCGAACCAGAATTTGATACGTACCTTGAATTTCTCGTGCCACCTCTTCGCATATCATGTTCTCCTGATACCAGGAGTAAAATCCTGGCCAGAATTTCATACGTTCCAGGAAATGGAGGGAATTAATGGTAATAAATAAATGGAAATGTGCCAGGAAATGAAGGAAAAATGAAGGGAAATGTCACAGACGTGAAGAGAAATTAAAGGGAAATGTGCCAGGAAATGAAGGGAAATTAAATGGAGAGTTAGGAGATTTGTAATGGTTTTAGAAGGGATTAGGAGTTGTTAGAAGTTGTTACGAGATGTTAGGTGGTATTAAGAGATGGTAGGAGATGTTAGAGGTTGTTCGGAGATGTTCTGAAGTGTTAGTAGGTCTTAGGAGATGTTAGAGGGTGTTGGGAGACGTTAAAGTGTGTTAGGATACCTTAGACGGTGTTAGGAGTTGACAGAGGTGTTAGGAGGTGTCCAAAAGTGAACGAAATGTTAGTTGTCGTCATCGTCGTGTAGCTCAAGTATCCCCGTTTAGATATCAACCGAAGTTAGCCAGTTTGTAGACCCAGTTGCTACCCAGTGCCGCTGGTATGCGGCAACCGATACAAGCCTGGTGTCGGATCGGTTGTCATTTCGTAGGCGCAGAGGTGCCCCTTTCATACGGTAACCTACGCTAACCGGTTTGTCGGTTGGGTTGCCATCCCGAAGGGGCAGCGATGCCCCTAGTATGCGGCAACCCGTGGTGACCGTTGTGTCGGATCGGTTGTCATCTCATAGGCGCAGAGGTGCCCCTGTTATGCGTCAACCATTATAGCTTTTATGTCATTTCAGTTGTCATCTCGAAGTTGCCGCGTACTTGATTGCACAACGATTTCATTAAACATCGTAATCAAATAATAATTAAAGAATTCTATTATAAAAAATATATCGTTATTAATACTTCCTGTATTTGAGTTTTGTTTTGACTAGTACTTTTGGGAAAGAACCACCTTAAAGTCTTTCTATCCAAATGTTAGCTATTAAATCTCAATGGGTCTTCATCGTTGAATGACGTAGTAAGTTTAAATATGTACAAATATTAGAGGACTATCGATCACTTATTTATATGTGTATTGTTTACTTTTCGATATCACGCATATATTTAAACTGTTGTATAGAAATTAAAACGCGAATGAGCGAATCAGTGTTTAGAATTTTAACTAGTCGTTAGAATAAGCTTGAAATATCAGAAATCTATTAGTTATTTTGTCGCAGTTATCTTGTATAATGTGAACAGAATCTAATCGTGTTATAAAATTATTAATAAAAAAAAAAACATGTACCGTAGAGAAATTATTAACGTTTACTCTACCAATACGCAACGTGTACTATTATTTAGATGTACGTACCTGTAGTCGAAACGAGATGTTAAGTAAGAAGCGTGAGCAGGTGTCGGGTACAGAAGAAGACTAATCGTTAATAAATTATGTACTATATTTTGACCTTGATCGTGAGTGATCGTACATACACGCACAATCGATATTCTTTATGATAGTTAACACGTTTAAGCTTAATGCAAGCTGCACAAATTTGAGGGTCGAAAGAAATCTTACATGAGGAGCTCGTATAAAATCATTGCTCTTGTTTTCTTTCTAAATATTGTTGTCTCTAGTTAGGTGACATTCATCGACGGCCCGATTCTTCAGTTCAGTCTCTCGAACAAAATATTGCGAAATCGAATTTGTACTTAACGTAAACGTTTTTTCCCGCTTTAACGTTTTCTCGTATCCTCCTCACACATGTAATTATATTTTATCGAAGCTTTGTACGAGGGATTTAGCGCAACTGTTTCTTCTACGAAAAAGTGTGACTTTCGCTACGTGCGTTCTTTCGCCTAATGATCGCACCTGCGTTATCGTTAAATCACGAAACTCGTTTTTTTTTTTTAGTTTGAAAATTGTCACTAGAGGCATCTTAACTCCAACTGTTATAGTCATCTAAACTTAAATCACGTTAAATAGTCGTAATTGTAATTACACTATGTAGGCCTGTTTTTTTTTTTTTTTTGTTCTGTTCTGTTCATCGCTTACAATTCTAAATGAACTAGGGTAATATTGAACGTGTCCGTTTCAATCGCCACGTTGTTAATTACAAAATGAGATCTAGAAGTTACGTGGCTAATCAATAAGTTACAATGATACAGTCATGGTACAAACTTCACGTTGATTTCGAATGGCCCCAATCTGAAACGAGAGGTGTGTGTGAGATGGTAAAGAATCTATAAAGCTGGGTTGAAAATCCTTTCAGAAATTCATTCATTTGGATTTAACGTAAAGTATTTGGTAACGTGCGGAGTTCTTTGAATAGACTACTACATCAGACGAATTCTGATTGCAGTAAAATAAATGATAATTGAATTTTTGTTAAGACTTTCCTCCCAGCCTTACTGCCAACGTACTGCTATTAGCAAGACGGACAGGGCTTCTTTGGCTCACCGATTGTAAAATTGCTCGATTCATATTGTAGGCACAGGGAGTACGAGACGTTCGCCTACTCAAGTTGAATCCTTTCCGATTATTTGAACCCGTTTCTGACTCTGCATGAAAGTGTGTGCAGCACTTGCATATAGACAACAGAAAGCAACATCTTGTTTCTAAACACGACGTTGTCACGTACACCCTTTATCAAATGCGGATGGTCCGTAGCAATTTACCTTTTCGGTAGGTTACTCTTGTATCCCAGCTCTTGTCATTTCTAAAAAAACGTTGCGAACGATACAAAATTTCCAAAGTCTTTGTTCAATACGATACAACACCAACTTAGTCGACGTATAGAGATAATGCAGGGTGTTCCATGAGAGATTATAAAGATTTCTCGTCTCTACTCGCTTCCGAGAACAATTAACAAAGGAAACTTTGTCCAGAAATCTCTCTGGATATAATGGAATATTTATTTGTTTTACCTATCAGAAGTATCTCGAACAATTGCCTTTTGCAATCTTACGTCCTGCTTAGGAATTATGTTGCCCCAGTCATACAATGTCTCACAAAACACTCCGCATCTGAATCATCCTACTGCATCTGGAGCGTCTCGGTATTCGAGCGAAGCCACCGTATAAAAGCTTTCGCCAGCATTGTTACCGGATTAACATCGGAAAAAGGGAAGAGGTAGCGGATTGAAATCTCAGATGAAAGCTTTAAACCTTTTCTTCCGCGATGCTGCTCGTCGATGGCATCCTGTGCGAAGGTTCCAGCCTCCTTCTTCTCTCCTCGATGGCTTCTGTTTCCAGGTTCATCGTGGGTTGCACCGTCTGCGTCACAGACGAGCTTATGTGTCTCGTTTTAACGAGAGGCGGATTTCGCGATTGCGGAATCGCGAACGCTCTTCTTAGAGCCCCTCTCGGGGGTGACGGTGGTGGATAGGAGATACCTAATGGTATATTTTAAGTGAGCACACTCCAACGCGTTGCTGGAATTCCATTTTGCTAACATGAAGAAGCCGTGCAACTCTTAACTTAATCTCTGATTACAGTCACGATTTTACGGACTATTACAATGTCTATAGATCTTGGGTATCGTGATAGGATACTCATCGAATTTCATTGTGGGAATGGGACATCAATGGGACTAATTTGTTAACAGGTTGAGCGCAGCGAGCTTCTAGGAGCTTCTCCGGGATTCGATCGCTCTGTCAGGTACGTCGCGGCGCTCAGCCTATCTAGCGATTCTGTTAAGCATGCACAGTGCCATTTTTGCTGGTGTTTATTGTCAGAACAAGCTTCTAGAGGGTAACAGTGGAAGAAGATATAATCCCGCGTGGGTAATTTCTACCTCGGTGCCCTGGTGAAAGCAAAGTGTCCTTGCTCTTTGTTATTTGGGGTACGATAAGAAGCGAGTTTGGCGGTGTCGGAGATACGGTCGAAGTTTGTGGCGAAGTAGCTAAAGTCAAGTTTGGCAGCGATTGGCCCAAGCTAGAATATGGTGGTACTTGGACACTCAGCGTGTTGGGCGTCGGTGACTTACTCGGCAGGTATCGTCTATTATCAAATTTGTTAGGACTAAAATAACGTTCAAACGTTGGTCAGATTGCAATTTGAAAACGTGTCTTTGTTTAATATTCGATCTGTTCGTGCACCGTTACCTTATTTGTAGGGGTCTGTGGTTGTGCCCAGAACTTTCGCCGCCCTCCTCGGACGACACGCTCGAAGCTCGCGGTAGCTCGGTGGTCTCCACACTAACGTTTCTGCTTTGATTGTAACTGGGCAGGAAGCTGCTGCTTCCCGGAGACACTCCCTCCATCTCTATGCTTCCGCTGGAAGTCGTTTCGCGACTTTGATTAGAGAAAGTTCTAGTGTTCCTTCGCTACGGACATGTCTAGGCTCTAGACTAACTAAGAGAAGTT